AAAGCACAGATTCCTTAGACTGCCTGGAACGGCTCATTGATTTAAACAATGGGGAAGGGCAGATTTTCACCATTGATGGCCCCCTGTGTCTGAAGAATGTGCAGTCCATGTTTGGGTGAGCACACTTGTAGATAACAGACCTTTGGGAAGGTCTCCAGTTGGTATCTCAAAAGGAAAACAAATACAATAAGAAATCTGGTGATATGAGATGTTCTAATTAAACTCTTTATTTTTTAATCTTGTTAACTGTAATTTCATCTTGGCCTTCACTGGTTATGGTCAATATTTATTTAGTCATTGTAACCAAACTGTAGCATCTGTTTATGCTTGGCAGATAAAAGACAGTAATTTCCATAATTACTGTTCATTTTCCAGGAGTGGGATAATGCTGCTTTGTTTCATGATTTAGCAACACAAGAACTATTGAATTAACTGTAGTTTAAAAAGTTTTGGGAGCTAAATTAGTGTGCTTTAGACAAGCTATTTTCATTTAATATGTATTATGTTTTCCTTAATAACTGTGTTCTAGAAAGCTAATAGACCTGGCTTATACACCATTCCATGCTGTCCTCAAGTGTGGCCACTTAACATCTGATGTGCAAGTATTTCCCAGACCAGAGCCTTTCATTATAGATGAGGAAATAGACCCCATTCCTAAAGCAATTAATACAGGTAACAAATCTTTGATTGCTTTTTTACTAAAATCCATTTGATTTCTGCCCTTTCACTACCACCTCTCATCCTGTGGAGTTATTGCCTCATCCACTTTGTCTCTGCAAGGATCAGTCTCTGCTTGTGTAATTTTTTGGTGTATGTGTGACACCAGGGAACAAAAATTATCATCCTGCTTCATCCATGTGTACCTGGCTAAAGGGCTGCAGTAGGGTAGAGGCACTTCCAGAGCTCAGGGTGACAACTCCTAGGGGTAGAGACTGGGAGACAGCCACAGGTTGCTTTCCATGAGCACCCTCATAAGCTTCAGGGAAGAGAAATTATTTTTAAAAACAACTGTGCAAAGAAAAACCTTCCCAGCCCTCCTGTTAGTGGACACAGCTCCCATGAGTAGCAGGTATTTGCTTTTTCTCTTCTGGAATTTGTAAGACAGCAGTGGATTGTGTGCAGTGTAAATACCAAGGTGCTCAGTTCTGTAACTGTCCAGCAGCACAGCTCGTGGGCAGCAGTCTGTGTGTGCTGAAAGTCATCTTCAAAAGTTGTGTGTTTTATGTATTTCTAACTTATTAACACCTTTGCACTCCAGTTCAGTAAGGGTTCTCTTGTGCTACCTTTAGTCATTGCTTCAGAAAACCTGTTGGTGGTGATGTTAAATAGCCTCTGAATGCATTTCAGTTATTTCCAAATATGACTTAAACTGTCTTTAATCTGATTTAAATCTGTTGTCTCCCTGCAGATCTAGAAATTGTTGGGTTTGTAGATATTGCAGACATTTCCAGCCCTCCTGTCTTGTCCAGACACTTGGTACTGCCCATTGCACTTAACAGAGGTGAGCAAGTTGGGTTTATTTCAGCAAAAACTACTTTAAGCTTCACTTGTAATGAGGTTTGGACAGGTTTTTTCGCTTTATCAAAATACCAGATGTCATAGTTGTGTGATTGCATTAAAATTAAAACCTTGACCACAAGCTCTCTTATTTTGCATACTGTGTTCTTTGTGAAGTTCATAGAGGGGCCAGGGTCCTTACAACATCATTATTAATAGAACATCTAAACATACAGTTCAGAATAATAATGAGCCATGAAATATGTGGTGCAAGATGAATATTTAATGCCCTTGAGTACAATGCAGTGGAACATTTATGTATCATTATTGTGCCACTTTGCCCAAGCAGTTCATTCTGCAGCTGTTTGTTCTACAAAAGTATTAATTAACTCTTGGAGGCAAACAGTAAAGGGTGGTGTCATGGAAACAGATCTCTTGTGTTTGAATTTATTCTCATGTTTTCTCTTTGTTTGCTTTGATTCTTCCCCAGAGGGGGATGAGGTGGGACCTGGGATCACAGATGACACTGAAGATGAGAATTCAGCTAATCAGATTGCTGGGAAAATCCCCAACTTCTGTGTTTTATTACATGGCAGCCTGAAAGTGGAAGGCATGGTGGCTCTCGTCCAGTTGGGGTATGGAGCTGGATGTCTGCCTGAAAAATCTCTTACTTTGCTCATTTATACTTTATTTATAAATTATGCTTATTTATATCTGTATTCTGTGCAGAACTCTGCACTGCTAGACTAAGCTATGGATTTGTCATTGCAGATTTGTTTCTGTCAGTACAAATTGCAAACATTGAGCCTCCACACAGTGAGAGGGAGGCAAATTCTATGCAGAGAGGGGGAAGATTTTCAGCCTTTGAGGGTTTGCTCTTTTCCACAGGCCAGAGTGGTATGGAATGCTTTATTCACAAGCTGATAGCAAGAAGAAATCAAACCTCATGATGTCACTCTTTGAACCTGGTCCTGAGCCCCTCCCATGGCTGGGGAAGATGGCACAGCTTGGCCCCATTTCAGGTACTGGTCACACTCCTCTGAGTAACTCTTAACCATTCTGTGTGAATGATCTCGGCAATTCTTGGTTGCTAAGTCTATAATTTATTTTTTCACCCAGATGCAAAAGAAAATCCTTATGGAGAGGATGACAACAAGAGCCCTTTCCCTTTGCAGCCCAAGAACAAGCGCAGCTATGCTCAGAATGTCACTGTCTGGATCAAACCCAGTGGCCTCCAGGTAATGAGCCAGGTTGTGCTGCTTTACCTGGAGCAGCAGGAGCCATCTCAGCAGGAACTGCAGTCTGTGCATGTCTTGCCCATTTAGAGTAATTGCTTTATTGCTTTTCTTTCATTTTTATAAACACTGCCTCTTTACAATGTCATGATTAAAATGCAATCAGAAAGCATAGCTTGTTTAATGAGAGTTGTGTCTCCAGTGGAGCATCTGGCTTGGTTTATTTGATTTAGTATAATTACCAGTTATGTTTCTGCCTTTGAGCTGCAGTTTTGTCAATGGTCAGGATAATTTATCCATAAAGAGTTGGGGGTTGTTCTGCAGCTTCCCCCAGAAGCTGGCAAGATTTTTGGATTTTTTTTTTCTCTTTTCTGCAGACAGATGTACAGAAGATCTTGAGAAACGCAAGGAAACTCCCTGAAAAAACACAGACCTTCTATAAAGTGAGTAACATTCCAGGCTGGCTAAGTTTGCTCCACAGTGATGGTGGTGCATTTGACAGAGGAGCCACAGTGTGCTCAGTTCAGGCTTGCAGTGCTCTGCAATAACTTACAGGCTGGTTAGGTGAGACAAGGGGGTCTCATTTCAATAGTCTGGCACTACATTTTGTGGCACAGATGTGTCATGTCTACAAGTGCCCTCATGACCTCTGCTACTTCCATGGTGAACTTCTATGCTGTTGTCCAGGCAGAAATGAACAGGGATCAGAGAGGAATAGGAACACAGATGTCATTCTGAGTCTTGAAAATGTGTCCTCCATTTCATCTACAACTGAAGCAGAGAAAGACCAAGTTCCAGGCACATTTGGCCACACTATAATGATCCATAACCAGACTGTAGCTGAAGGTAATTATTCCTCTTGCAAGCTTAGTGCTGAAGCAGTTTGGTATTGCAGCCTCCAGAGACCTGAAGAATGAATACCCTGCCTAAGTGCACATAAGCACTGTTCAGTTTAGAGGGAAGAAAAATCAATGTGTCTACATTTTACTGGACACTGTGGTCAAAGGCAGCAGTCAGTCAGTGAAGCCTAAGCTGGAGCCCTGCTGGGACACAGACAAAGCAGGCAGGTACAATAGCTGAATGCACAAAAGGAAGAAGTGGAGGTTTATAGGAAAGGATCAAGGGAAGACCACTGTCATCTTCAGCTCTGACTTTCTGTCTGTGAGCAGCTGGGCACTTTCCAGCAGCTGCGCTGTGAGTAACATCACCTTTAAAAACTGATACAAGAAACCCACGTTTGATGTTGAGGCTTGGAGTGGCTTTAAAAGGGGTTTTGTGTCTTTGCAGGAGCTGAACCGTTTGCGAAAGGCAGCTCTGGCCTTTGGCTTCCTGGAGCTGCTGAAGGGCGTGGCAGACATGCTGGAGCGGGAGTGCACGCTGCTGCCCGACACCGCCCACCCCGACGCCGCCTTCCAGCTCACACACGCGGCCCAGCAGCTCAAAGTGGCAAGTACTGGGGCCTCGGAATACGCTGCCTATGATCACAACATTGCTCCTCTGCAGACTGACTTTTCCAGCAGCAGCACTGAGAGAATGTGAAGCCTCCATTTTGGGAGCTTCTCTAGATTAAGGCTCAAGCAGTTCAGATTTTCTTCTGGCCTGTTCAATCACTGTTTGAAGAACTTCCTATCCAAACCGGGAAGTTTTGCATCAGTGCTCTCTAAACAAACGTAGCTCATTTGTGGTGGCTGTTAGTGAGACCTGGAAACTGTGGAAAGTGTCCCAAACCCAGTGGTGGTGTTGGATGATGGGTGGAAGTTATTTAGTATATGTGAGGAGAGAAAAAAATGCCGTTGGCAGCTCTTGGATTTTGGCCTTCCCAAAATGTAGTTACTACACAATTGAACTTGCTGGTGAAAGTATCCTAAAAGGCAGCTACTACACTTTACACATCAACTTGATTAGTCCAAAGAAAGGTGTGAGAAGCAACCTGCAAGATCAGATACAAAACTGATTTTGGGGTGTTGGCCCTGACTTTATGCCCAACTTGACAGACAGTTTGTACTAAGCATTATCACTTGCATTGCAGTGCTTTTGCTTCTGAAACTTGATCTTGGGACACATGTTTTTTTTATTTGCATAATACAAATAAAGAGTAACTCTTCATGAAAATTTAAGTTGGATTTGTTCCATTTTCATAGCAGGCCCAAAAGACTGACCTGGTGAAGGCTCAGGTCCCAGCTGTTTATCTCAAGTTAAAGATCAAATTATACGACTTCTCAGGAAGTCGTATAATTTGAAAGAACAAACAACTGAACTAAAACAAAATTTGGTTGTAAATCTTTATTAATAGAAACACATTCTTTCTGAAGGACTAAAATTCAGTAGTGTAAGATCCATGACAGCTTGCACTAGGTACCACAATTTCACTGATGAATACATACGGATTTCATAACAGAGGTTTAAATGCCCAGAGAAGAAATCAAAGTATGAAAGTGATCCTTGCTGTTCTGTTACTCAGCTAATTCAACCCTTTCACATACTTCAAACATAGGTACAGTGTGTGCTAAGTGAAATATTGTGTAAATAGTGCTCAACTCTCCTGAGTAAAGTAGGCTGTGCTTCTCCCAAAGAGAAGTTGTATCACGCCTCTTGTTGACAGAACACAATTTGTGAAATGCAGCATGGAGCTTGTACTGCTTCTATGCTAGTCTCCTCATAACACTATTTCATTTACAGTAACAAGCACTGGGTCCATATCACAAACCTTCTGCTGTTTGTTACTTTTAATATATATAAAATAATTTTCTGGAGGGTTCATATTGTTTTACAATAGAAAAAGATAAATAGTAACATGGCACTAAGCTAATCTCAGCTTGTGTCTGTTCTGGATTGCTGGCATTGCTCTGCAGTGCCTGGGGCAGTAGCAGTTGGGAAACAACCTGTTCATAACCACAGTGCAGTTTGAACTAAACTTGCTGTACCTTTCTAAACTGGGTTAAGGAGGCCAGAGGAATCTGGGATCAGCTACAGGAGGCTCAGTGTGAAGAAGGATATGCTGAAATAAAGTCAACTGAGCTAGAGGTTTCCAGGTGAGACAGCAGATGACCTGAAACGTGGGGGGAGCCTCTCTCTGGTGGTGGTGGTGGTTAAAGCAAGCAAAGAGAAAAGGGTCCTTCAAACCCTGTGTGGGACCTCCCTTACTAAGATTTGATATGTGCTATCTAAATAATACAGTTTATTTGAGCCCCCTGTTCCATCCCCCCAGGAGCCAGCCAACCATACACACCAACTTCTCTGCTGCACCCCTAAATGCAGGTAGAAGAGTGACTTTGCTGCCTTGCTGAAGGCTGTAAATACAGGAGCCACAGCCCTGCCAGGATGGATCAGAGGGGCCCCATGTCCCATGAGAATTCCACATTCTCCCTTTGCATGGGTTGGATGGAGTTCTGTTGGGGTTCACGTGCCAGGAAAGCTGGTACCTATGTTCCCTTGTTTTGTTACATTTCAGTGCTTGCTCTACCAACCAGGAAAGCATTTCTGCCCTCAGTGGCAGCTTCCTTTCCCTAATGACTGGACAGGATGTGTTGCTACAGGAATACACATTGCTATGGTCCACACAGAGCTCCTATTCTGTTAAGGCTCAACTAGAAACAGACTAAGTTGGTAGCATTTAAATCAGCATTAGCTACTTCCAGTTTTAATTCTGTACCATCAATAATGCTGCAGAGAAAAGGGGGGGGTATATACTGAGCAAGTTTATCCCAGTGGTTGATAAACACCCAAACACTGCACAGTGGCCTCAGACTGTGCCTCCTCCTGCCACCAAGATGCCTCCCAGGAACAGCACAGGCCAGCAAAGAGCATATCCCACATCAGAAGCCCTATCTGCATGCAATATTGAAAGAGCAAATCTCCAATTAAAAGATAAACACTATTTCTAGTTAGTGCTGCTCCACTGATTATAAGCATATCATATGCAGATAATAGGATTTCTTTCTAATATGCTGGTTGACAGGATACAAGTTTAAATGTTCAATGGTAAATGCCATGCATAGATGATGGAAAGGGAACAAAATCCAATATAAGGGAATGTTACCTGAATTCACTATGAAATCATGAAATCTAGCGTGGTCATTTCATTTTACAAAATTCTTGAATTACAGTGAGTAAAACCGTAAGAATTAGAGGCTTATCTTGTCCCCAAGTGAGATAAGAAATCATTGCAGTCTTGCTTCACTTCATCTTTCTCTTCTTTGGTCCAAGGTGCTGTTTCCTTTGCTTGTAGAGGTAACGGAAGTTTACAAATACCCCTGGAAAAGAATGAAGTGTTTAGGTAGGACATCACTGCGTCTTTTTATGCTAAATGGCTGTACCAGATCTAAAGGAAAAACAACAGATCCCAACTAACCCAACCACCACACAACAAAATAAATTATTTAGGGGTGTGTGTAGCAGTGAAAGTTAATGCAAGTGTTTTCTTGCTGGCTGAGGCAGGAGTTGCTGCACAGGCTGTTTGGCAAAGAGCTGCTTAGAAGGTTTGTTTGTCACCTTTAACAAGTTGTGACACCAGCTGTGCAGATCTAAGGAGGATGAACCAGGTATTTCAGAGTGAAACTCAACTGAAGGGTGGCTTTAAGCAATGTCTGTGAGCAGGAGAAATCTAGTGAAAGTTCAGTTTAAAATTCTCGGTTAGATTGTGGGGAGTTGTGGATACCCAGCGTGGGTGTGGGTACCAGGAAATTAAATTGTGTTTACAAATGTTACACCAGAAACCAACTATGTCTCAAGCAGGTTTTCTTCTTTAAATACACTATTTAAAGAGAGTTCTATATTGTTTCCTGGGAAAACGTGATTTCATGTTGCATTTGTGATTATATTGCAACATTTAACCAAATTACTTAAATTTGAAATTATGTTTAGATTGCCAGTACCTCACTCTAAAGCTCAAATACCCCCTAAAAGGTGAAACTAAGTGTACTATGGTTATAAACACATGTAAAAATTATTCCTTTGACCGAATTTTACACTGCTAATTTGTTACCAAGATCACCTTTTTGGAGGGCTAATCAGAGCTCATTGGAGGTATGTTCCCCTCCATCACTGACAAATTTACATGAACAATCCACAAGGATAACACTTGAACCTCAAGCAATTTTGTGTTGCCATGGTCCCCAAGATGCAGGAATTTAATTTTCTTTGAAAAATCAAGTTATTCAGGGGAAGCTTTTTATTTCAATATTGAGAAATAGAATTAAATACTTACCTAAAAACAAGGCTATAAGATATATTTGAAGCACAAATGGAAACTGGATTGTGACATTCAGTGGATTTGGCAATCCCAGGCTAAATTTCCCTGTTTCACTGAAGATTGGAATGGATTGAACAATACAGACAGCTGAAAGCAGAAGGCCACCATCATTACCAAGTACAGATAAAATATATAATTACCCAGCCCACACCAACTATTTCAGCATAGTCCCTTCTAATTTGCCAGTGCTGATTAATGACAGCAATTTTGAAGGTGTTGAACATGCAGAAGGGTGGGAAGCACCTGCCTGAGGGGGTGCAGCAGGGAACCTTCCTGGTGAGACTCTGTTCTCAGGCACAGCTGCAGCCCCAGGGCCTGTGCCAGCAGGATTTGCCATCCAGAAATACCCCCAGCACTGAAACAAGCACACTCCTCCCCTTGCTTGGTGTTGGGCAATGCCCAAAGCTCCTCCTGGCTCACAGACATGGGTTTGCAACACAGGAATAAGCCCCTGCCTGTCCTCTGCAGTCATTTACAAGATAATATCAAGACCTGGGAGCTGGTGTGAACCCAGGCCAGGCTGAGCAAGTCAGGCCCAGCAGACAAAGCTTTGGTTCAGCAGAGGGAAGTGAGCACTGGCCTCCTGTGCAGCCTGTTCTTGTTCAATTTGTTCATGAAACCCATCATTGCCTTTACTTGCCCCTCCAGAAAGGCAGTCTTTCCTCCAAAAGGAAGACTTTACATCAAATTGAAAATAATATTTGATTCAGTATGAAAGACAAAATGCTTATATTTGGTTCACCTCAAAGCAAATCTATTTATCTGTTGTTCTATTTTACTATTTTAAGTCTAGCTGCCAAAAAAAGAAATTTAGTTATTTTCCCAGCCTTGAATTCATTATTTAGTAAACTGTTTTAAGGAGATACCTTCTGCCAAGCCCCCTAAGGGGTAGAGAGGGATCCAGGCAGTGTAACGGAGCCAGGTGAGTGGTTTCCATTCAATTCCAATGCAGGAAAGCATGTAATAGGGATACCTACAGTGTGAGAGAAACAAACACTTGAAAATGGAAATTACTACTAGAATTGGTCTTGTGTATAAACACTGTGTGCTCAACACAATTCCCAAATGACACAAGAATATTCAAGGCATTGTCCCTGTGGATGATGATGGACACACAGTTATTGGGCAGTTTACAGAGCTCAGGCCATTCTGAACACAGGCATGAAGGCAACTCCTGGCTGCCTAATAAACCCTTCAAAACAACTTCAGTTCAAAGATAAAGGCCTCATTTAACAATGGAAATTCAAAGCACCAAAGAAATAAAGCCACAGGGCAGTATCACTTTCAGACTCCAGCTCTGCCTTAGCTTTTGGCAGATGAAGGAAGGCTGTGAACAGTCCATGACTCAAGGACCCTCTGGGGCTGACTCTTCCAAAAAATACAAAGATCAAAATCTTCTTTCTTGGGAACAACCACTTTGTTCTGTGCACACTTGGTAGGAGGAAAATCCCACCAACCTGAACAGCTCAATGATACTCCAGAAATAAAATATGAAGAACACCACAGGTTTGCTCTGCATTTCCTCCAAGGTTCCAAGGATAACAAACAAAACGAAGTTTCTTCCGAATATCTGTTAAAGAAAAACATATGAAGGAACATTCACTCTTCATCAGAAGGAAGGGCAAGTCCTTGCTGTCAGAAACACAAGATATCTACTCCTCACACATCTGAGCACACAACTAACTCGGAGCTGAGCTGTGACCTGCTTCTTACACGTAAGAATCTTGCCCTGTATTTAGGTACAATCCAAGGGATCCAGTCTCAAATCAGCCATCCTCATTTTTATGCACAACAACCACAACCAGGATAAAAAGGGCACTGGCACCAAATCAAAATCATGTACTTTTATCAGCTTCTTGCTTTTGCTGTCCTGCACTCCCTTACCCAGGTGATGGAAGGACAGACAGCCTGTCACAGCCAAGACTGGGAAGCATGGGTTCCTGCCTTGTGAATAAGAAATCCTCTAGTCCAGTGCCAGTGAGGTTGCATCACTTATTTTAGGAGAGTCTCAACACTTGTGTAAAATAAACATTTACTTTAAACATAAGAGCAAGGAGAAGAATTTAGAAATACAACCTGCACTACAGAAGGGATCAGTGGTGATTTGACCAGTCCTATTAGTGAATTCATGATCTCCATTAATGCCAGGGTCTGACAGAAATACATCATATCAGAAATAGTGTGAAATGTGTCATAGAAGGAATCTGTAAGACATAGAAAACCAACTGTTTTAGAGAACAAATGAATTTCCATGCTCAGGAAGCTGGTGCAGCAGCACAGCTTGTGATAACAGGATTCTAGCTGTATTTGAGAAAAACATGATGCATAATTACATAAGTTCTTTATAGGCCTTATCTTGAACTCACAGCAGCTGGGGCAGAAACACTGCTCCATTTCACACACAGAAGGATCAAGAGCTATTTCAGTAATTGCTTTACAAAAATGGCAATAGTGCTGTACCTCAACAGAATGGATTGTTCTTGCTTCAAAAACAAAATATTCTGTCCAGATCATTTTCAAAAACATTAACATTGCAGTCAGCGAGACATTTTGCTTCAGCTGATTTTGTTAGAAGTGATCCTGGCAGAGCACAAGTATCATTCACAGAGTACACAGCTGTGACTTACAAGGGGACAGTATTTTCCTGCCCTTGACACTTTGATGACCTTTGAAAGGCTTTCGTTGTGCTCTTTGGCATTGCACTCGTGGTTTAGTTCCTAAATATATCTCCCTTTAGATTTTGCCATTTAAAAGGTCTTAAAAACAACACTGAAAATCAACTCAAACCCTCCAATATAAATAAAATAGTGCTCATTACTTGCCTTTTCCTAAGATGAATAGTCGTACTGTCATGTTCACAAAAATCCAAGAGAATCCCAAAAACTGTACAAGATTATACATGATCAGGTATCCCTTCTTCAGGTGTTTGAAAGCTAAAATCAATAATAAACACATCAGGTGAGCAGAGTACAATGGTAAAAGAGTTGCAAACCAGGATTTCTGAGAATAAAGCTTATAAGGAAAAGGGAAGTTATTGATTGTGATGAAAGCATTGTTGGGTGCACTGGGGGTTCTGCTTTTGCCATCATCTGCCAGAACTCCAGAACTTGCTAGTCAGATTTTTGACATTCCTTGGAAACTTCAGTCCATTTTTATTAAATTTCTAATAGCTCACAAAGCAAAGATCCCCTCCAAGACACCCCAACCCACTCAAAACTCATTAAGAGTCAAGGTTCACAAAGTGTGAACAAATTTCCTAAATCGCACTTTACCCACCAAAAAGATGCAGTTACTTACGGTCTTTTGGGACTCTGGATTCTATTTTCATTTTGTTAATCTTTTCTTCTTCCTTAAGATGAAGGATAAGGTTTTAAAGACTTACTGTAATTAGCAAGTGATTTGTTAACTATACTACTGCAAAGCTGGTGGGTTTAAAACTCAGCCAAGCAGACAGTAGCTAGAAGGTTTAAATTTTCACCAGCATAAACCAGAACATTCATCATCCAGAAATTATAGTACAGTAAAAGCCAGAGGGTGTTAACCAGTTATCCTGCCCTCACCGTGTGGTTTGTTCTAGTAATTAGATGCTTTTGCTGAAAGAGCCTCTGCTTTCTGTGTTAATTCTCAGTTATGACTGTGCCGTTTCTTACATGATCCACCAGCAACCTGAGGAGAACAGAGAACATCCAGCCCAGGTTCTCTGCCTGTCTTTCCCAAAGCTCCTGGGCCTTGGCACTGCAGTGTCCCTCTCTGCTCCCTACTAAGCTCATGGCTGCAGAGGGGAACAGGGCAGTGTTTGTTGTAAAAGGGATTTGCAGGAATGTGGTCTGTTCAAGCCTTTTCCAAGTCCATCTTGCACCTCCCCACTCAGTAAGCTGCTCAAGCTCACCAGATGGTGGGAATGCACCAGCAGGGCCAGCCAGGGCTCAGGAAAGCCTCAGCAATCCCTGCTTCCCACACAGACAATGTCCAGGACTCGCTCCTTTGGGCTCCACATGGCAGAGTGACATGATCCTCTGTGGCTCAGCACACCAGGCAAGGGGCACATGCAAGGAGCCAGCCAGAGCCTCCAGTTCCAGTTCTAACCAGAAACATGCCTATTTCCAATTCCCCACTTACAGTTTGAACCACTTAACTAAAAATGCAGGTGTTGAATGGTGGGTGCTGCTGCCTACTATCTGTTCCCAACAAACCTCTCCTCCAGAAAAGCACATTGGGTTGACATTCAGGCAGCACAGTCAGATCCCCACACAACACTCACCACAGCTGGCTCAGCGAGAGAGGCAAGAAAGGCTCCTTTTTGCAAGGGTTTACTCCAGCAGAGTATATCACATGTGGCTGAAGGGAACCCGGTGAGAAAGAAGGCAACCGCCAGTGGTTGCAACCACTAGGCAGCTTAAGAAGGGGAAGAGGTGGGAGGCGGAGATAAGGGCAGGGCAGAGGGGGTTGGTCTCCTTAGCCACCAGTGGTACCAAGCCAGTGAGGGGACAGGGAAAGGGGAAACCAGGGGAAGTCCATGTGGGAGTCTGTCTTTTCCCCCCCAAGGAGGACTAGTCTATGGTAAGAGAGAGTTCATGGGATGCGACACTTGGAACCAACTCTATATAGAACAGCAATAACAATCAGCATGCCAGGAACTCCTGGTAAATGAAGAGTGCAGGTTCAGGCACAGGAGAACAGCTGTCCTTGCTTTGTAAGTGGCAGCACAAGCTCCAGGTGCCCACAGGACTCACCTTTTCCTTCAGCTCCATCTCAGCATCCGACTCGTCCAACCAGCGGTCGAAATCGGGCGCCAGGAAGAGCGGGCGCTTCTCCTGCTTGGTCAGCCTCTCCCACCAGTTACTCTCTTTCTTCTGCACAGTGATGTTCAGCTGCCTTTGGGTCATCCTGCACACAGGCTGGGGGCAGACACATCAGCAGAAGTCCAATGAAACAAGCTCTGAGGCTGAGTTGGTAGCCAAGCTCCCCTTATCAAGGAGGCAGGGATGACACAACTGCTGCAGCACAAACGTCTCTCTGCCACCCAAGGCATGGAAGCAAAGGGCAGTCCAGTTGAAGATGGCAGCTGTGATGGCTGCATGACTTGATGAGCAGCCTGCCCATATCACAGCACCACTGCATCCCACCACAGAGCTAGCAGAGACCCCAGTGCCAGCCTTCTTAGACAGAACCCCTGATCTTGGCTTTACACCTTCTTGCACTTAGTACTGTGAGCCACCCACCTCCTGTAGCCAGCAGTAAAAATAACACTGCCAGCAGCCACAGGTACTTGTCTAAACAGGGACCCCATGTGACCCCTGCTGCACCGAGAGAAGGAGCTAAGAGCCTTAGGGAATGCCTGGAGACAAGGTGAGCTGACAGAGCAAGCAGTGTGCTCACTGCCACCCCACCTGCACAGTGGCATCCCAGAACCTCTCCATCTTTACAGTCCATAGCATTGTCACCTTGGAGCCCATGGCATTGTCACCTTGGAGCCCTTCTGACCACTGAGGCTGCTCCACACAGCACTGCCTGTCAGACCAGCTGAAACTGCTGCACAAGCTGCACTCCTAACAGAGCACATTACAGCAGCTCTGCTCTGTCAAGGCTGCTGGATGCTCCTTAGACATCTGAAGGCTGCTGCTGTAATTTACAGCTACTACACCTCATCCTTGCCTGCCACAGGCCCCATTTCTCACTGCTGGCACCAGCAAGGGGAACTCATGCTGCACATCAAAACTAAAGGAGAAAAACCTGGACTGTGATGCTGCCTGGTCCTGACCATCTGTAGCTACACAGAGTTCAGTCTGTTCTCCAGTCTCTCCACAGTGACTCAGAGTGACAACTTTTGGAAGGAGGCTCTGCAGAGGCAAGGACTTGCCTTCCAGGCCTGGCTCACAGCAGAGCCTGTGTCTGCCAGCACAGGAGACAGGCACCTCTCCCACACTGTGGGCCAGGCTGATGATAAGGCAGTGACCAGACCCTGGAACCAAGAGCTGTTCACTGTCTGCCACTCCACACCTGGCAGGAGCCACACCAGAAACATGCCTGCTGACAGAGCCTGGAAATTTCCCCTCTGATGGTCTCCTTCCCTTCTCCTTCCCTTCTCCTTCCCTTCTCCTTCCCTTCTCCTTCCCTGCTGAGGAGCAGAGGTGAACAGTGGCTCCCAGTCTGACTGCAGCTATCCCAAACTCAGCCAGGAATAAGCAGCACAAATCCTGCCCCAGGAGCAAAGCCCAAGGTCTCCTGTGCCCCAGGCTCTGAGAGGTGGGGACAGACCTCACAGCCACCTGTGAGTAACACAGAGGGACAGCTCTTTCCACTCAGACTGCAACAGGGATTAAGGAAAGACTTCTCCAGCAGGAGCCACAACATATCACAGCCTAAGAAATCTGCTCAAGCCAGAAACACAAATTCTCCTGACTCTCTTTTGTCAAACTCAAAAGAAGCCATGAACATCACACTGACTGCACAATGTTCCCCCCGACCTCCAGTCAAGGTTTCATCAAACAACACATTGCCAGATTCTCCTGTTATTTTGCTGCTTTAAATCCTTTCAAAAACTTAAAACTGCTGTGTAACAAGTGACAAGCAAGTGCTTACTCAAGCTGGTCCATGCAAGCACCAGCTCCAGTGAGGTGATTTGCATTAAAACAAGACAATGGCACACAGGACTGCCACAGAACTGGCTGTTACAGAGTTACCAGAAAAATTAAAACAGTATATTGGGAACTTTGTGCACAGCCATTTCCCTTTCAAGTTCTTCAAAATTTACTTTTTCTTTGCAAGAATTATAGAAGTAAAAATACCTACTTTAGGCTCGACTGGCTCGAGGAATTCGATCTCAAATTCATATATGTTGTCTCCTTTGGCACCGTGACCCTGGGCTAAAAGACAAAAATTGACAGTCAGTGTGGCTCCACACTGCAAAGGATGCTTTGTATACAGAAATATTCAGCACTTACTCACAGCACTTTCTTCGTGCCTTCCTCAGAGGCAAGAGGAAACCACACAATTACAGGGAAGACACCAAAGCCTTCCTTGGAGGGGCAGATGCAGGAGTCAGCAGCTAAAGCTGCTGCAAGTCTGCACCACGCTGGAAAAGAGTCCCTGCTGCAGGAAGCCAGTGTGTCAAATTCCCAAAAGGGGGGATCAAAAGGCTGCTCACAGATAACTCGAATCCAGCAGAAAATCTCCTGCTGGGGGATCCAGCCTCCACACAACAGAGTACCCAGGGAGATGGGTGCTGCTGGGTGAGTAGGAGGGTGATGTGGGGAGTCCCTCCCAGCGGCAGAAGGGCACTTATCATGGTTTGTTATCTCCCACATTGATCCTGTCCCCGGAAGGGCTCCAAAACTGCACACTGTGTTTAATTCCCACCCTTCCACGCCGTAAACTGATCCCAAAGAGAACATGATGTGCAATACGCTCCTATCAAATGGCCTGGCTGTGGCTCACCAAGGAGGCAGCAGCTCCTAATGAGACATCTTAAAAAATTCCGTGGTGCTGGAATGTGCATCTGTCCAGCTGCAAAAATCCCATCTTTCAGGGCTTTAGTTTCCAAATGGAGCACTAGTTCCTGATGTGAAGGCTTGATAAGAATTGCACACAAGGTCTTTGTGAAAGGAAAATTTGCTGTGAGTTATCTCCAGGGTTTGGCTGGCCCGGGATGGGAAGGATATATGGAAATTCCACTGGTATTTAAATATGGGGAGGTTGGGGTTTTCTTGTTAGATAAGATAGGGCCTGTTGTGGTTACCAGGGCTGGAACACAGAGGGCTGTGGGTGGGAATGTGGCGGATCAGAACATGCCCAGCACAGCGGCTCCTGCCACTGATGGGAACCAGGCACCGCGCGATGGGGACAAGTGGGACAGCCCCGGAGTGGGGGCCAGGCTGAGACCCCCCGATGGAGCTCCTACCTCTGAAGTGCAGGACATTATCGGTGATGGTGATGTCCGGGTTCTGCGGAGGGAGAACATGCATTAGGTGACAGCTCACGAACCCGCGGGGGCCAGTGCATCCACCCGAGGGGGTCCCGCCGCCCGCACAGCCCTCCCCGGACCGCCGAGCCCCGCTGCCGCTGTCACCGCGGGGATCCGCAGGTGCGCCACCCCTGGGGGTCCCGCAGGTGTTCCCCGCCCGCCGGTGAGTCTCCCCCGCAGGTGAGTCCTTCCAGGTGTCCTGCAGGTGATTTCCCCCGCAGGTGAGTCCTTCCAGGTGTCCTGCAGGTGATTTCCCCCGGGGTCCCCCAGGTGAGTCTCCCGCCACACCCAATTCCCCACAGGTGTCCCCGCCCGGCGTTCCCCAGGTGTCACCCCCGGGTGTCCGCAGATGTCCCCTCCCGGGTGTCCCCAGGTCAGTCCCCCAGGTGTCCCCGGGTGTCGCGGCCGTACCCGGACGTCGCTGAGGTCCACTCGCAGGAAGAGCTCGCGGTGCCGCTGTGCCCAGTGCACGTGCGGCCGCAGGCTGGGCCCCGCCATCGTCCCGGCCCGCACCGGCCCGCGGCGCCCCCGCGCCTGCGCACTCCGACCCCCGCCGGGCGGGCCCCGCGCCTGCGCGCGCCGCGGGGGGCGGGCGGGGCCGCCATGGCCGGGCGCCCTCAGGGGTTCCGGGCCCTCCTCGGTGGGAGTCATCGAGCCACAGCGTCTGCTGGGCTGGGAAAACCCTCCCGGATCCGGTCTGACCATTCCCCAGCGCTGCCGAGCCCACCGCTAAGCCATACCCTCACATCCACGCGGCTTTGAAATTCCTTCAGGATGAGGACTCCACTGCTGCCCCGGGCAGCCTGTGCCAATGTTCAACAACGCTTTCTGTGAAGAAATTTTCACTGATATCCAAACTAAACGTCTCCTGGCACAACTTAAACCTATTTCCCTTGTCTTGTAGCATGTTACCTGGTAGAAGAGACTGACTCCATCTCAGCCATGACAGGAGAGGCAGATAAGAATTTAGCAAATAGCAATCCTGCAGCCGTGCAACCTGTTTGAACTCTTACACTGTCATTATTTTGTGCCCCAGGGCCTTCTGCTGGCCCAGCACTGGCACAGGCTGTCCAAAGAAACTGTGGCTGCCTCATCCCTGGAAGTGTTAAAGGCCAGGTTGTATGAGGTTGGAGCAACCTGATTTTGGTGGCCCTGCTTATGGTTGGAACTAGCTGGGCTTTAAGGTTGCTTCCAAACCATGCGATTCCATGATTCTATCATAATAAGGCTAAAAAAGGACAGCATTGTCTTGTTCTTTCCAAAAAGCCCACCACTCACTCCTCAGCAGCTCACACAAGGGCCCCTTGCCCTTGGCCATCCTCATTCCAAGAGCAAATCCATCCTCCTTCAGCCCCATTCTGCCATGGCCTCTCCCCGCCTCAGGATTTTCCCTGTGAATCTCTGCTGTGGAGACAGCAGGTCCCTGGCCCAGCCTGGCCCTGCACGGAGGATTCCACCCTCTGCCAGCCCCTGGTGCTGTGAAGCTACCACAGAACGTGGGGTGAGCTGTAGCAATGGTCCAAGAGGCTTTATTTGGGAACACAAACCCCACAGACCCTTTGGGGCAACGTGTGGGGAAAACCAGCCCTCAGCTCCCAGTGTTACCCGAGCTTCCACCTGCACATGAATTTAGGAGGCAGCACATGCAGAAAGTTATTTTTTCTGGTTTATAGGGGTTCAAAAAAACATTTTCCCTTGAAAAAAGGGACTGTGCTTTGCAAAGGGAAATTTGGGGGTAGAACCATTGGGTGGGGGCTCGCAGCTCTGGATCATGGGGATGTTTTGGGAGGCTCACATTGCTGGAGGCTGAATGTGTTTTGGGGGTTCATTGCACTGGGTGTGCCCAGGGTTTAACACTTGTTATTACACCTGGGAATTTCTTTCCCCTGTGGGAAGCATATCAGTGTGGAGGTGGCAGCATTTTTTGGGGAGGAAAAAACCGCGATTTTTGAAACTGCAGAGTCCTGTGCACTGGGGGGTTGCATGACCTGACTCCCGTGCATGGTGTAGTGTGTGTGTTTGTCCCAGTCCCTGTGCAAATGTCCCTGTTTCCCGTGTCCCGGTCCCGGGTGGATGTCGCATCTCCGCCCGTGGTCCTCCCGGCTGGCAGGCGGCGCCGTGCCCGCTCCGGCGCGGTGCCCGTGGCCGCTCCTGGAAGCGGAAGCGGAAGCGGCAGCAGCGGCCCGGCGGGGCGGCTCGGCAGCAGCGCCGCCGCGGAGCTCCGTGAGTACCGGGGGAACCTCGGGGGCTCCGCTCCGGGGAGGACCCCTGGGGGCCTTGGGACTCCTGAGGTGGGCGAGAGGAGGGGGCTTGACCCGGGCTGGCCCCCCTTCCGCCCCCGGCCAGGCCTGGCCGCCGCCCCGGCCGTGGAGGGATCCCCGGGTTCTGCCCATCTCCACCCCGGGATCTGTCCCCGGCCTTGGGGCACCCCTGGGATCTACCCCTGGCCGTGCAGGTTCCCCCGGGATCTGCCCCTTGCCGTGCAGGTTCCCCCGGGATATGCTCCTGGCTGGGGAGGGCCCACCGGGATCTGCCCCTGGCCGTGGAGGGACGCCCCGAGGTCCTCTCCGGGCTGTGCAGGGTCCCCCAGGATCTGTCTCCTGCCGTGGAGGGACCCCCGCGGTGTGCCCGCCGCCCCCCCGGGACCTGCCCCCGGCCATGGAGGACCCCCGGGAGCATCCCCCTGGGCTGACATTCCCGTGCCGGGTGGCCGTTCCCACTGCTATTAGCTCGTTAACGTCTCCTGCTCTTCGGTTTCTATCCCTTTTTCTGCGAGAAGTAGGTCGGGTTAAGAAATAGCAGCATCTGGGGGTAGGTGGGGAAAGGAGGTTTTTTCTTTGTTGGAGTTCTTCACATGAAACGAGATTTGCAATTCAGGTTTGAAGGTTCATTGTCAGTTCCTGACGCTGCCTCGAGCACAGCACTGCTCAGTGCATGCCTTGGATCCTTCTTCCATTTGGACAGGGCTCTTTTGTTCTGGATTTTTGTGCTGTAAATAGTGTGAGCAGAAGAAAAACCAGTGTTTGTTTTGTTTGGGTTGCCAAAGGTGAAACTAAGCTATTTGTGTTAAGATGGGTTTGTGTCAAGGTCCAGACCATGTCTTTTTCACTCTTTTGGGGAGATGTGTCAGCTGCTCTGGAGAGCCATGGAGGAGCCAGTCCACCAGGGAGCTCTGCCAGCTGCCCAAGCCTGTGCCTTGAGCTCCAGCCATCCTCAGTGCCTGTTTGCTTGAGGGAAGTGCTTTATTTAGGCTGTGTTAGTGTTTTGTCAGGCCAGCATGCTCTGCCCCAGCAGCGTACCCAACACTTGTGCAGTCTTTCCATGCTATATATAGACACCCCCTCCCTGCCTTTGAGGATTGATAACCCTACACCTTGGGCTCTCCAGGAATGAACTATGTGACGGGAGTTCATAGCTTGGATCCTTTTGGAGCTGCCCTCAGGTCTGGGATTTACAGTGGGAGGACTTGGTTTCCTCTTGCCAGACATGTGGGCTGACAATTTCAGCTCAGATACACTTTGTAAAACCCTGCAGGTAGAGATATCTGCTGAATTAAAGGCCTGTTGGGCAGATAAGGCTTGTGTTGCAGATAAATCCGTTTGGGAGATGCTTTTTTCACTGTGTCCTCTTCTGGTATTTGTAATTGGGACAATATCATAGTGGTGATCACTGCTAGACCTTTCTGAACTTAGTTTCAAAGGAGATACAACCAAACCCAAGAAGTTATGGGAGAATAATGGGAATAAGGATGAGCTGCCTAAGCCTGTTGTGTGGCCTGATGGTTCCAGATCAGCCACCAGTGTTATTTCTTCTGAGCAGTTGTGTGTCCCAGCTCTTGCTCCTCTCCTAATCATCCCCTGTTCTGATATCAGTGTTTTGAGGTGATTTGTGGAGGTCTTAGAGGGAAAGAAGCAGGTGGGAGCTTAAAGGGGAAGAATTTATCCACTTCATGATCTAACATGAGTGGTTGGTATGTGTGGGCATGGGAAACACAACAATAAAACTGTGGCTCCATGAAGTCTTTAGTCCTTTCTGAAAGGCTAGGTGGTGCCAGCCTGTTTTCCAGAGGAGAAAAATATTTCCTAGTTCTCTTCCTTGTGCTGTGGGTTTTATTCCCCATGTGAAAGCATGGTTTTCTTAAAGCATTTTTGCTGTGGGGTGTGTTGGGAGTGCGCAGCGAGGATTTGCTGGAGCTGAAGCTCTGCTGTTGTGTTTTTTTCAGAAACATGCAACATGGCAGCAGCCATGGAAACTGAACAGCCGGGCCTGGAAATCTTTGAGACTGCGGGTCGTGAGGAGCATGTCCCGAGGGAGGAGCAGCCAAAACTGGAACCTTTCTATGTAGAGAGGCATTCCTGGAGCCAGCTTCGGAAACTGCTCACAGACACACGGAAGTATCATGGATACATGATGGCAAAAGCCCCTCATGACTTCACCTTTGTGAAGAAAAATGACCCCGAAGGACCGCATTCCGATAGGATCTACTATCTGGGTGAGCTGGCTGTGACAGTGTCACTGCAGGGCTCTCTGGGATTGACTGTTCCTGACAGCTGGGTGTTCCTGGCACTTAAATCTAAAGGGATTCCAGGCCACACTTGCTGGTCAAAAGTCATGATTGTGTTTGTAATAGCTCATTAAAACTTGTGAGTTAATCTCCTGTGGGAGTGGCATGATTGGAGGTGACCCATTAGGCCTGGAAAAGAGCTGGGAAATGTCCTTTGGGGCATGTTCCCAGGCTGGAAGTCTGTTCAGTCTCTTTTCTGTCACTCCAAGTAATACTCTCTCCAAAAGCTGTGCAGGAGCTTTATCTTCTTTCAGAGATAAAGAAACCTTTGCAGAAAGGTTTATCTCCTTTCTCTTATTGCAGCTGTTGGGTGGAGCCTTGTTCTTCTTCAAAGTTTCCTTCCAAAGCAGAGATTTGAAGTGTAATTTTGAAAGTCCTTTGTGCCTCAGCTACCGATGGAGCAGGTTTTCCAGGAATCTGTGTAGCAGCATAGATCAGGGGCAGCTTAAAGAGTAAATACTTTTCTCAGCATTTTTGGTGTTAATAATAAAAAACTTCCTGTAGTTTGTTGTCCTTGGATTCAGTGCCTCACTTGTGCATTGTTGCACTAATTAATGTTCACTTGATAGAAGTGATTTGGCACCATAAGTGATACTGTGAGCAACCCTCTGAGTGGTGTTTTGGAGCAGACCTTGTGGTGGAGGAATGCTTTTGTCCGGAGCTGCAGTAGCTGAACATAAATCCATGAAAACCTGGATTAGGGAGAGAAGCAATGGCTGAAGCAGAGGCCTAGGAGTCAAAGCCATGTTCTAGTGCCACCGCTTGCCACTTAGGCTGCTTGCTTAAACTCAGGTTTGTGATTCAAAGAGTCTTTGCATGTGCTGTGCAGTGACATAGTCAGAAAATTGCTGCTCTTTTTTTTCTTTTCACAAGATGGGGGTCATAATCTTTGGATGATGCTGAGTTCAAGCACATCATGGGTGGGTTGAGATTGATTCCCCTAGGATGAGATCTGCT